CGCTCCGCCCCCGCGCGACGCGCCGACGGACGGGCTGCGACGACCGGTGGGGGCGGAGGCCGCCGCGGGTGTTGGCTGTGGAGGAGAGAGGGCTGAGCCTGAGAACTGCCTGCGGCGTCTGCGTTAAGCAGTGAGGCGCCCTCACGTATGCGCGTACTGTGTCATCCGCCCCAGGCGTCGGAGCTCTGGACGTTTTGAGGTGACAAATGTTTTGGCTTCGGGAACCTGCCCTCGTGGGAGGAGCCTGAGCTTGGGGGCTGGCCCGGCCCGCCCCCGGCTCGTCTGGCCTCTGGGGTGTTTTGGTCGCGCTTGGGACCGGAGCTGGAGGAGCCACGTCGGCGAGGGGTTGGCGCGTCTCCCAAAGAGCGGGGCGGGGCGGGGCGGGAGCCTTCGGGTTTCCGCGAGCTCAGCTGACCCAGTTGTGGCTGGGCGGTGAAGTTTTAACAGAACTGGGTTTTCATGACAGCTCTCAAGTTGCACAGGGTGTCCTAGGCCCTCCCGAAACCTGAGGAGATCAGAAGCGGAGACAAGTATGGAATAGTATAGATGGAGGTGGAAGTAGAAGTTAGTTTAAAAGCCCTGCCTTGTATGGGGGTATGGGGAACTCTTTACTATCTTCGCTATAATTGTTAACCTAAAACTGTTCTAAAATGAAAAGGTTTATTAAGGAAAAATTTAAACTAAGCAAAAGAAACAAGAAACCTTGCCTTTTGATCCCCAGCCAAAGTATATTCTAAAATATAATTACTTGTATTCCATGAATCTGCCCCTTCTCCCACAACCACCGATAGCCTTTCCATTCTGAACCTCAAGTTTTTGACCTTTTATTTCTTGAAATTAACGTGGAGTAAATAACTCTTTATAGTCTTCCTACAGATGTTGAAATTAAATATTCCATGCCGTGGGCGACGGGTGCAATCTTTCCTCACTAGACAGGATAAATATGCGTACATATACACACATGTCATGAGTTGAATATCTAGTGAAAAGAGTGATACTTTGTGCTTTTTACTGGTCACTGCCTGATTTAAAGCCATTCACAACAACTTTGCCCAAGTTAGTTTGCTGGTGTGTGATTTTTGAAACTCATTAATTATGAAATTGGACCTTATTTTTTCCCATATCTAAGTACAACTGGACCCACTGTTTAACCTGAATTATCCATTTTGAGGCTGTAGTTAAATTAGATTAATTTTATTAGCAAACCATTTCCCATGGTTAGAAGGACACTCCCCCAATACCACCAACCGGTATTAGATCTGCTTCCCACTGTCAATTGAGATACTGGCTTTTTTTTTTTTTTTTGGTGTAAGTCTCCATGAGCCCCATTAATGTACGTCTCCCCAGCAAATTAGGTTTCTAGGTCAGTAAGTCTGTCTTAGTCTATAGATGGATGGCTTATAAACAACAAATTTATTTCTCACAGTTCAAGAGCGTGGGAAGTCTGAGATCAAGGTGGCAGCAGACTTGGTGTCTGGTGAGTTCCTGCTTCCTGGTTCATAGACAAATGTGTCTGGCTGGGGCCTCATGTGGTAGGAGGGAGGGGGGAAGCTTTTTGGAATCTCTTTTATAAAGGAACTAATCTTCCTGAGAACTCTGTGCTAATAATCTAGTCATCTACCCCTGTCTCCTTACAGTATCACATTGGAGGTTAGGATTTCAACATATGAATATTTGGGGAGGCACAAACATACAGTCTGTAGTAAAGGCTGAAGCCAAACTCTGGTCTGTAGTGAATTTTTCAGAGAGACTTATTTGTATAGTATATTGTATCATTCCAACTACTATATGGATGTTTTTATTTTAAATTTTAAAATTTATGAGAATTTAGGAAACAGAAAAAGAGATACAATCTCACATAATCCAGCTACTTCCACAATGGGACATCAAT